CCAATCGAGGTTGAGGTAGCCACATCAGTTCCACTTGAGGTAGAAGTGGATCTACCCGTAGCCACCCGTGTCCGTTTGAAGTAGAAGTGGTCGCACCTTTCATAGTGACAGTATCAACTATGCCTCCTTTCCAATCAAAAGAAATACCTTGGGATTATGTTGCCGAAGCCAGGCAAAAAGGAAAGGCAAAGATGGAGGAATCCGATGTCACACAAGGAATGACCAGGACCGGAAGAATCTTACACCTGAGTACCTGGGAGGACCAAGTAAGGATGCCACTGCCAAGCAGCCTGTCATTGAAACAGGGCCAGATGACCTTTGGAGGAAAGTACAAGCAAAGGAGTATTCCGTCATTGATCATTTGAACAAAACCCCAGCTCAGATATCCATCCTATCACTGTTACAAAGTTCAGAAGCACACAAGAATGTTTTGATGAAAGTGTTGAGCGAAGCTTATGTGCCAAACAATATCACCAGCGGAGAAATGTCTAATATGGTAGAACAGGTGTTAGAAAGTCACAAAATCACTTTCCACGAGGATGAGTTGCCACCTGAGGGTCTGAACCACAACAGGGCACTGCACATTACAGTGCGATACGAAGACTACTTTATTGCCAGGGTCTTGGTTGACGAAGGTTCAAGCCTCAATATTTGTCCGTTGGACACTCTGAAAAGATTGGAACAGGTTTTCATGAAATACGGGCAGGAAGCATGAATGTAAAAGCTTTTGATGGGTCTCAAAGGGCCACGATCGAGAAGATTAACCTGTGCTTGCAGATGGGGCCAACTTGGTTCGACGTTGAGTTGCAGGTGCTCGACATACTAGCCTCATACAATCTTCTGTCAGGCCGACCATGGATCCATGCCGCTGGGGCTGTGGCATCCACGCTACATCAAGCCGTGAAATTCGAATGGAATCGTCAGGAGGTGATCATTCACGGAGATGGGAGTAACCCCATTTATACCAGTCAAATCACCCGGTTATTGGAAATAGAAGAAGGCTAGGAGGGGAAACCTATCATCACATTGAACGTGTCAATGCCGTCGAGAAAGATAAATGGTGGAGCAGTAAAATAGAGAGCATAGTGGCATGGTCTGGGTATGAACCCGGCAAAGGGCTTGGGAAGAATCTCCAGGGTATCACTAAACCAATACGGCTGAAAGGTCATGGTACTACCTTTGGGCTCGTATATCAATACACATGGCATGAGTATAATGATTGGTCGCCTCCATGGCGTGGACCGTACTACCCTCTTGAGCAACCAGTGCCACGTCTTGATCAAGCCATTCACCAAGCTGATACAATATGGGGAACTGCAGAAGAGGAAGCATTAGCTGGTTTGAAGAATCTGTTCTTAGAGGATGAAGACATGGATTGCAGTGCAATAATTGAGGAGGAGGAGGAAGAAGGCCTCACTATTCAGACCGTGGAGAAGGGAGTTGTTCTCAGGAACTGGACCGCCCCACCATCCTTGGCGCGCCGAGTCCCTGGGTAGCTTGGCAGATTTTATTTTTGTAGCCACTCTAGGCATTTAAGATTTTCAGTAACTTTGTTTTAAAGTCTTATTTGTTTCAAAATAAATGCTCGATTCATCGAGTCGTACTGGTCTGGATGTTTTTCAGTTTTAATCAAATGCATTGCTCTTTATCATTCATTATTATTTCTACACTTTTTCTTTCTACAGCGTTATTATTACTTTTCCTGATGAACCGGTGACTGTGACATGTAATGAGGCAACGCAACATGAGGATAGTGATTCGGATGAAGAAGACGAGATACCCGAGGAAGTTGTCAGGGAGGTGGAGAACTTTGAGAATAAGCCTAAGTCCAACGTGGACAAAACCGAAGCAGTAAATTTGGGGAACGCCGAGACCGTCAAGGAGACTCGCATCGGCATTCACTTATCACCGATAGAAAAGGAAGAGTACGTTCGCTTCTTAAGGGAGTACGAGGACATTTTTGCATGGTCATATGATGACATGACAGGTTTGAGCACGTCCATAGTGGCTCACAAGTTACCTACCAATCCAATGTGTCCGCCGATGAAGCATAAACTCAGAAAGTTCATACCAGACATGAGCCTGAAAATCAAGGAAGAAGTTACCAAGTAGATCAAAGCCAAAGTTCTCAGGGTGGTTGAGTACCTAACCTGGTTAGCCAACATTGTGCCAGTTCCAAAGAAAGATGGGAAAGTCAGAGTATGTGTTGGCTGTCGGGATTTAAACAAAGCAAGTCCCAAGGACAACTTTCCACTACCAAACATACACATCCTAATCGATAATTGCACCAAGCATGAACTCTAATCTTTTGTAGATTGCTTCGCGGGTTATCACCAGATCTGGATAGACGAAGAAGACGCGGAGAAAATAACTTTTATTACACCATGGGGGGTATACTGCTACAAGATGATGCCATTTGGTCTAAAGAATGCTGGGGCTACCTACATGAGAGCCATGACAACCATCTTCCATGATATGATACACAAGGAGATAGAGGTATATGTGGACGACGTCATTATCAAATCCAAGAGGGCCGCAGACCACATAGCAGAGTTGAGAAAGTTCTTCGACAGACTAAGGAGGTACAACTTGAAACTGAACCCCACCAAGTGTGCATTCGGGGTTCCTGCAGGAAAGTTATTGGGATTCATTGTCAGCCGGCAAGGGATTGAGCTAGATCCGTCTAAGGTCAAGGCTATTCAGGAGTTACCGCCGCCTAGGAGCAAAAAGGACGTGATGAGCTTCCTAGGGCGTCTCAATTATATCAGTCGCTTCATAGCCCAGTCCACAGTCATATGTGAAGCCATCTTCAAAATGCTGAGGAAAGATGCCGAGACAAGCTGGACCGAAGATTGTCAGAAAGCTTTTGACAAGATCAAGGAATACATGTCCACACCACCGGTTTTGGTCCCGCCAGAGCCGGGACGGCCTTTGCTACTCTATCTATCTGTATTGTATGGAGCCTTCGGATGTGTTCTGGGACAACATGATGAGACGGGGAGAAAGGAGCAAGCCATATACTACTTGAGTAAGAAGTTCACACCTTACGAAGCATGGTACTCTCTGCTGGAACGTACTTGTTGTGCTTTAACCTGGAAGGCCCAAAAGTTGAGGCATTACTTCTGTGCCTATACCACATACCTCATAGCCAGGATGGACCCTTTGAAGTATATATTTCAGAAACCCATGCCGACCGGGAAGTTGGCTAAATGGCAGATACTATTGAGTGAGTTTGATATCATCTACGTAACTCAAAAGGCGGTCAAGGGACAAACATTGGCAGATCATCTTGCTGAGAATCCGGTGGGAGGAGAATACTCACCCTTGAGAACGTATTTTCCTGATGAAGAGGTGTCATTCGTAGGAGAGGACATTACTGAAGCATATGATGGTTGGAGGATGTTCTTTGATGGAGCGGCAAATTTCAAAGGAGTAGGCATTGGAGCGGTTTTGGTATCAGAAACAGGTCAAAATTATCCAGTATCTGCTAAACTCAGATTTCCCTGCACTAACAACATGGCGGAGTATGAGGCCTGCATACTAGGACTCAACATGGCAGTCGGCATGAATATTCAGGAGCTGCTGGTAATTGGTGATTCAGATTTGCTTGTGAACCAGGTACAAGGAGAGTGGGCCACCAAGAATTCCAAGATATTGCCATATCTGCACCATGTGCAGGAATTGGGAAAGAGGTTCACCAAGATAGAGTTTCGGCATGTGCCCAGAATTCAGAATGTGTTTGCCGATGCATTGGCCACCTTGTCATCTATGATACAGCATCCGGACAAGAACTTCATTGATCCCATCCCAGTAAAAGTCCATAATCAACCGGCCTATTGTGCCCATGTTGCGGAAGAAACAGATGGAAAACCTTGGTTCCACGACATCAAGGAGTATTTGGCGAAAGGAGAACATCCAAAGCATGCAAACCACACTCAGAAACGCACACTTCGGAGATTGTCCAATCACTTCTTTCATAGCGGAGGAAATTTGTACAGAAGAACTCCTGATTTAGGATTGCTAAGATGTGTCGACGCAAAAGAAGCTTCTAAACTACTTGAGGAGATACATGCCAGGACCTGTGGCCCGCATATGAATGGTTTTGTCTTGGCCAACAAGATACTCAGGGACGATTACTTTTGGATGACCATGGAGAATGCGTCCAGTATGTCTGCAAATGCTACCAATGTCAAGTGCATGTGATATGATAAAAGTGCCGCCATATGAGCTCAACGCAACAAGCTCGCCTTGGCCATTCGCCGCCTGGGGAATGGATGTCATCGGTCCGATTGAGCCCACCGCTTCAAACGGACACAGGTTTATTCTGGTAGCCATTGATTACTTCACAAAATGGGTAGAGGATGCATCTTACAAAGTTGTAACCAAGAAAGTCATCGTAGACTTTGTCAAAGACCGTATTGTTTGCCGATTCGGAGTTCCCGAGTCCATTATCACTGATAATGCCTCCAACCTCAACAGTGATCTGATGAAAGCCATGTGTGAAACTTTCAAAATCAAGCATAAGAATTCCACGGCCTATAGACCCTGGATGAATGGAGTCGTGGAAGCCGCCAACAAAAACATCAAGAAGATACTAAGGAAGATGGTAGAAAACCACAAACAATGGCACGAGAAGACACCTTTTTCTCTGTTGGGATACCGCACCACGGTCTGCACATCAACCGGGGCTACTCCCTACATGCTAGTCTATGGTACCGAAGCTATCATCCCGGCCGAGGTAGAGATTCCTTCTTTAAGAATCATACAGGAAGCCGAACNTCCACCTCTAATACCTCTACCTCCACCTCTATCACCTCTACCTCCCCCTCTAGCTAGCTGAGCGGGCGGTGGAACACTCGGTGCCTGAACCATGGCACGGGAACCCTGAGTCTGAGAGCTGCTCGATGCTCGAGGGCAAAATCTAGCAATATGCCTTGTATCGCCACAAGTATAACAAGTCCTCGGCTACTGAGACTGCTGACCCTGATGGCCTGAATTACCATCCTGAAAACTCTGGAGCAGCGGTGCACGGATAGGAATTGGTGGTGCACTGTAGGACTGCTGATCAGAATACTGCGTATGAGAACCACTGCCACCTGGAGCACCGTGAGAAGCCTATAGTGCTGAATGAAACAGCCTGAAAAGATGGCCCCTACCAAAAGAGTCTCTGCCTCCAGATGAGGCACCACTGAACCTGCCGGAATGACGAGGCCTCTTGTCAGACCCCTGACCACCCCCTATGATAGAACCAACTCCACTCTCCGGGCCATATTGGCCGCATCCTAAAAAGAAATTTCGCTCCCCGTCTCCTTAGCCATCTGCAGTCGAATAGGCTGAACGAGTCCCTCAATGAACCTCCTCACCCTCTCTCTCTCGGTGGAAAGTATAAGAAGAGCATGACGGGCCAAGTCAATGAATCTGGTCTCGTACTGAGTGACAGTCATAGAACCCTGCTGGAGACGCTCAAACTGCCTCCGATAGTTCTCCCTCTGAGTGATAGGAAGAAACTTCTCCACAAATAGCTGAGAGAACTAATCCCAAGTCAATGCTGGTGACCCAGCTGGTCTAGCCAAACAATAATCTTTCCACCAAGTCTTGGCGGATCCCGACAAACGAAAAGCAGCAAAGTCGGCCCCATTGGTCTCTACTATCCCCATGTTCTGAAGAACCTCATGACAACTGTCCAAATAATCCTGGGGATCCTCAGAAGACGTACCACCAAAAGTAGTAGTGAACAGCTTGGTAAAACCTATCCAACCTCCACACAGCCTCCGAAGATGTAGCTGATCCATCATCGGTCTGTGCTGCTGCTCGGCCGAAGAAGCGGTACGTGACCTTGCCATTTGTGAAAGGACAAAAGTAGAGGTTTTAATTTAGCAGTGAGAGAACAAAGTCGCACGATAGAGACGAATAGAAGTGAAATTGTTCCTAACTCTGTAGCCTCTGGAATAAATACAGACGTCTCCGTACCGATCCCTCAGACTCTACTAAGCTTGTCTGTGAGTTGTGAGACCTAAGCAACACAGAACTCTGATACCGATTTGTCACGACCCGAATTTCCCACCCTAGGGAGTCGTGATGGCGCCTACTAGTGAAAGCTAGGCAAGCCAATTATTCCAATTATTTAACCCTTTATATCTTTAATCCCTTAACAATGGTGAATTAACATTATATAAACAGCGAAAATAACAAAGCGGAAGATAGAAATATAACAATTTAATAATAATACCGATACCAATCCATAAACATAAGCTACCCAGAATTGGTATCACAATCTCACAGACTGTGTAAGAGTACTACAAATAAGGTCTGAATAGAATTACACGAATCTGTCTCTGGATAAGTAAAAACAGAAGGAAAATGATAGAAGGAGATGCCAAGGCCTGCGGACGCCTGCAGGACTACCTCGGGTCACCTGATGGTCTGGAAGCAGCAACCTCACTCTGGTCTAAAAGCTGCAGCACCGGGATCTGCACACAGTGTAGAGTGTAGTATCAGCACAATCGACCCCATGTGCTGGTAAGTGTCTAGCCTAACCTCGGCGAAGTAGTGACGAGGCTAGGACAAGACTACCAATTAAACCTGTACAGTTAAATCATAAACAGCGGAAAAGTAAATGCAGAAATTTACAGGTAAAGATAGGAGGGGGAAAACATGCTGCGGAGAAATTAAGTAACAACAGAAAACCAATAGATAAACGTAAAGAACATTATAACTAAATTATCAGCAAGGATCAGGAAATCAAAGACAAGCGCACGGCATCACCATTCGTGCTTTACACTCTCGAAATCATGTACGGCATCACCCTTCATGCTATTCTCTCACAAATATCATGCACGGCATCACCCTTCGTGCTTTACACTCTTTCTCACCCAAGCAACAATCACAAAGCAATTTGGGCAAGGAAATCAATAACATCACAATAAAATCAAGTAACCACAAAAAACCAATAAATAAACGTAAAGAACATCATAACTCAATTATCAACAAGAATCAGGAAAATCAAGGGCATGTGCACGGCATCACCCTTCGTGCTTTTACTCTCGTCCTCACCATAAGAATCAATATAATCGGCACGACAACACCTTTCGTGCTTTTACCTCACATAATCATGGCACGGAATTATCCTTCGTGCATTATCACTCATATCATGGCACGACATTGTAAATCGTGCGGCACGGCATCACCCTTCGTGCTTTTACCTCACAATATCAGCATGGCATCACCCTTCGTGCATTAACACTCTCTCACAAATATCATGCATGGCATCACCCTTCGTGCTTTTACACTCTTCCTTACCCAAGTAACAATCACAAAGCAATACGGGCAAGGGAATCAATAAAATCACAATAGAATCCCGGCAAGGGTACAATAGCATAACAACAATATCCCGGCAAGGGAAACAATATCATGAATAATAACATCCCGGCAAGGGGGATAATATCAAAAGCAATAACATCCCAGCAAGGGAGACAGTATCATAACCTCTTCTCTCTTCCACAATTACTTCACAACTCTATTCACAACTTGAGCCAACGCTCTACAATGTTCAATTACCAATAATACTTCCACAACTCAAATCACAACTTGAGCCAACGCTCTACAATGTTCAATTACCAATAATACTTCCACAAGCCTTGTTCAACAATAGATATCATCATATAAAGCATGAACAATACGAAACGGAGTCACATTTATCATAGTATAAAACTCACGGGCATTCTTGACACCGACGTATAGATACTCGTCACCATGCCTATATGTCGTACTCAACAATTAACACATAGCAAATAAGACACAACTCCTAATCCCTTAAGCTAAGGTTAGACCAAACACTTACCTCGATGCCACGAACACAATTCAAGCCTCAACTACCGCTTTACCTCTTGTTTCCACCACCAATTCGCTTGTATCTAGCCACAATTTACTTAACGACATCAATAAATGCTAAATGAATCAATTCTAATGCATGAAAAATAGGGTTTCTAACGTTTTTCCCAAAAAATCAAAAATCGACCCCGGGTCCACATGGTCAAAACCCGAGGTTCGAACCAAAACCCAATTACCCGTTCACCCACGAACTCAGATATATAATTTGTTTTGAAATCGGACCTCAAATCGAGGTCCAAATCCCCAAAATTTGAAAATTCTAAGTTCTACACAAAACGCCCAATTTTCCCCATGAAAACCCTTGATTTTGGATTGAAATCATGTGAAAAGATGTTATAGATTGAAGAAAATGAGTTAGAAATGACTTACAATTGGTTTGGAGATGAACTTTTCTTTAGAAAATCGCCCAAAAGTGTTTAGGTTTCGAGAAGGTTTGAAAAATGGATAAAAATGCGTCTAAGTCCCAATTAACTGGTCTCTGATGTCGCAATTGCGACAAGGGTTTGCAATTGCGAAACCCTTCAGGACCTGCTATCTTCGCAAATACGAAGAATATGTCGCATTTGCGACTGGGAAAATCCACTAGCTTCGCATTTGCGATAAAAAGGTCGCATTTGCGACTCTGGCCCTTCCGCATTTGCGATAAAATGGTCGCATTTGCGATCCAGGCCTGCCCAGGCCATCTTCGCAAATGCGATAAAACTTCGCAAATGCGAGCTCGCATTTGCGAGCCAGGCTTCGCAATTGCGAAGCTTCCAGACCTGCAACACACCATCAATTTTCTAAGTCCAATTTCACTCCGTGGCCTATCCAAAACTCACCCGAGCCCTTGGGGCTCCAAAGCAAATATGCATGCAAGTCCAAAAACATCATACAGAGTTGCTCGTGCGATCCAATCATCAAAATAACATCAATAACTATGAATTAAACCTCAAATTCATGAAATCACTCAAGAACATCAAAATTACTATTTTCTTAACTATAGGTCCGATTCATACCAAACGAACTCCGATTCTTACCAAACTTCACAGATTCAACTTACTTATTATTTCAAACTTGTACCGGGCTCCGGAACCATGATACGGGCCCGATACCATCAGCAAAATGCATCAATTCATTCTAAAACCTCTATATTTTCCAGAAAACAATTTTCTTTAAAAATTTATTTCTCGGGCTTGGGACCTCGGAATTTGATTTCGGGCATACGCCCAAGTCCCATATTTTTCTACGGACCCTACGAGATCGTCGGACCACGGGTCTGGGTCCGTTTACCAAGAATGTTGACCAAAGTACACTTAAATTCATTTTAAAAGTAAAATTTATCATTTTTCACAGATTTTCACATAATGGACTTCCGGATACACGCCCGGATTGCGCATGCAAATCGAGGTGAGACAAAAAGGAGGTTTTAAGGCATCGGAACACAGAATTTATTTTCAAAACAAGTGATGACCCAAGGTCATCACATTCTCCACCTCTAAAACAATCGTTCGTCCTCGAACGGACATAAGAAGGAAGTACCTGAGTCGGAGAAAAGATGGGGATAACGGCTCCGCATATTGGGCTCGGACTCCCAGGTCGATGCCTCAACAGGCTGACCTCTCCACTGAACACGAACAGAAGGGAAACTCTTCGATCTCAACTTACGAACCTGCCGGTCTAGAATAGCTACCGGCTCCTCCTCATAGGACAAGTCCTTGTCCAACTGGACAGTGCTGGAATCTAACACGTGGGATGGATCACTGTGATACTTCCGAAGCATGGACACATGAAACACTAGATGCACAACTGATAAACTCAGCGGCAATGTAAGTCTGTAAGCCACCTCTCCCACTCGATCAAGAATCTCAAACGGGCCAATGAATCTAGGGCTAAGCTTGCCCCTCTTCCCAAATCTCATCACGCCCTTCATAGGCGACACCCGAAGCAACACCCGCTCGCCGACCATGAATGCCACATCACGAACCTTACGGTCGGCATAACTCTTTTGACTGGACTGAGCTGTACGAGGCCTATCCTGAATGATCTTCACCTTATCCAAGGCATCATGAACTAACTCTGTACCTAACAACCGAGCCTCTCCCAGCTCAAACCACCCAAGCGGCGACTGACACCGCCTACCATATAAAGCCTCATAAGGAGCCATCTGAATGCTCGACTGGTAGCTGTTGTTGTGGGCAAACTCCGCTAAAGGCAAGAACTGATCCCACGAGCCTCCAAAATCAATAACACAAGCTCGGAGCATATCCTTCAAAATTTAAATAGTACGCTCGGACTGCTCGTCCGTCTGAGGGTGAAATGTTGTGCTCAACTCGACCCATGTGCCCAACTCACGTTGAACTTCCCTCCAAAAGTGTGAGGTAAACTGCATACCTCGGTCAGAATGATAGACACGGGCGCACCAGAAGACGAACAATCTCTCGGATATAGATCTCGGCTAACCTCTCAGAAGAATTGGAGACTGCCACAAGAATGAAATGTGCTGACAATTCAAACACCGAGCCACATATGCAACAGTATCCTCCTTCATCCTCCTCCACTAATAATGTTGCCGCAAATCCTGATACATCTTAGCGGCGCCCGGATGAATAGAGTACCGGGAACTGTGGGCCTCCTCTAGAATTAACTCTCGAAGTCCATCTACATTAGGCACACAAATACGACCCTGCATTCTCAAAACTCCATCATCCCCAACTGTGACCTGCTTGGCACCACCGTGCTGCACCGTGTCCTAAGGACACACAAATGAGGATCGTCATACTGCCAATCTCTGATACGCTCAAATAATGAGGAACGAGCGACTATGCAAGCTAACACGCGGCTGGGCTCAGAAACATCCAACCTCACGAACTGATTGGCCAAAACCTGAACATCCAAAGCAAGCGGTCTCTTACCGACCGGAATATACGCAAGACTGCCCATACTGGCTGACTTTCTACTCAAAGCATCGGCC